ATACAATTTTTATTGGAAGATGGTGAGGTTCTGTATTTATCATTAGTGTAGACGTCTCAATGCATACAATTTTTATTGAAAGATGGTGAGATTCTGTATTTATCATTAGTGTAGACGTCTCAATGCATACAATTTTTATTGAAAGATGGTGAGGTTCTGTATTTATCATTAGTGTAGACGTCTCAATGCATACAATTTTTATTGAAAGATGGTGAGATTCTGTAGTTATCATTAGTGTAGACGTCCCAATGCATAAAATTGTTACTGACAGATGGTGAGGTTCTGTAGTTATCATTAGTGTAGACGTCCCAATGCATGAAATTTTTATTGAAGGATGGTGAGGTTCTGTAGTTATCATTAGTGTAGACGTCCCAATGCATAAAATTTTTATTGAAAGATGGTGAGGTTCTGCATTTATCATTAGTGCAGACGTCCCAATGCATATAATTTTTTATTGAAGGATGGTGAGGTTCTGTAATTATCATTAGTGCAGACGTCCCAATGCATAAAATTTTTATTGAAAAAATGGTGAGGTTCTGTATTTATCATTAGTGTAAACGTCCCAATGCATAAAACTGTTACTGAAAGATGGTGAGGTTCTGTAGTTATCATTAGTGTAGACGTCTCAGTGCATACAAGTTTTCATCTATTCTTTCTTTAAGCGTCTTTCCTAGTTGTTTATTACTTTCACTGTAAAAAAAACAAAAAACAGTTAACTCCTTACCATAAGCTGTCATCATTTAGTCGCTGTTTTATATAACTCTATTAGACTCACCTTGGTTCTTACATTTAGGATGCGTAAGGTTACTGCTTAAAAACTGTGTTCAAATCATTATCAACTCATGAATTGGTGTATTCAAATCATTATCAACTCATGAATTAATGTATTCAAATCATTATCAACTCATGAATTGGTGTATTCATATCATTATCAACTCGTGAATTGGTGTATTCAAATCATTATCAACTCATGAATTGGTGTATTCAAATCATTATCAACTCATGAATTGGTGTATTCTAATCATTATCAACCATTGAATTGGTGTATTCAAATCATTATCAACTCATGAATTGGTGTGTTCAAATCATTATCAACCCTTGAATTGGTGTATTCAAATCATTATCAACCATTGAATTGGTGTATTCAAATCATTATTAAGCTTTAGCTTTATGACATTGTGTACTCCTAGTAGACAAGTATATAAAGTTAACTACATTATTTGTTAAATTCATTTTAATCTCTGATCTACGAAGATAGTTTTCCTTTGTTTTTTGTTCTGAATTTCGTGCAAAGTTTCTTGAGGGTTATCTATCCGCGCTAGCTGTCCCTAATTTTGAAGTAATAGACTAGAGGAAAGGTAGCTAGTCAACATCACTCACCGCCAACTCTTGGGCTACTCTTTAACAACGAATAGTGAGGTTGACCATCACATTATAACGCTTCCACAGTTGAAAGGGCAAGCACGTTTGAAGACGGGATTCGAATTAGCGGCTTTCAGATTGCAAGTCGAGTGCTCTAACGATCAGGACATGCGTAGCCCTTAGTTATTCTGAATCCGAAGCTATTGATAATAAACCACATAATATATATATATATATATATATGTTATGATATGAACCGAATTACATTTCTTATATTGGAATGATATTTCGCCTCACTTACGTAATCTGCGGACTTATAGCGCTAGAATCCGGGTTTCGATACCCGTGGTGGGCAGAGCACAGATAGTCCATTGTGTAGCTTTGTGCTTAATTACAAACAAACAAATCACTTACGTAAATACATGTATTTAACATTGAGTTCAAACATCCGTCATTCTGTTCTATTAAGAAGGATTTTGCTCTATCTAAAGACCGTTGTTATTATTATTATTATGATGAAACTGACCTTCATATACTTAGCAGGAACAAATCCCAGTTTCCCATCTTTGAGTCTCCTTGCTGCCCACCACGTCGTTCCCTGTTTTTCTAGGATTTCAATTTCATCGTCTTTGTCAAATTCAAGGACGTCTGGTCTTTTCTTGCCATCTTTGAAAGGAGCAAAATACGTTTTTGTGGCTTTACATACTTCCATTACAGACAATAAACATCATACGTTTACCGAATCGTCAACAGAGCAGTTTCAAAGTAATTGCAGCGAGAACTGACCAAATGATAAAAACCTGTGTCTTTATCTACGATTTTCTAAGGTCTACAGATAATGGTTGAATAGAAATGTGGAGATAGGTGGTAAACAGGGCGTAATCTTATCAGTAGGGCTTGCATTGTGATTGTGACTTGAATATTCAGTTCAGGCAACGCTAACGCGGCGTATAAAAGCTAAAACCGCGAGGAAAATAAATTAAAACTTTAGTCAAAACGCCAGTTAAAATCAGTATACCTACATCTTGCCAAAACGTTGATAGTTCCTACATATTAATATTTCAGATTTTTAACTGGAATTTTTTCATTGCGCTCGAAGAACTGTTTTGACATTGTACTCATATTAATTTATACAGATATTTTTGTGGTTTTGTATTCAAATAAAGAGTGTGTGCTATTATAAACGTATAATATAGCGTTGATTTCAGTCGATTGATGTTTTTCCACAACAGTTAAATAAGTATAAATCATGTTCTGATCCAACATATTTAAAAAGTTAAACAGTTACTGTATAACGTACCATTAACAGGCCCTACTATAAAACTAATACGGCGCCTATAGCAGCTGTTTTACAATAACACCAGTAGTGTCTTAAAGTGTTTCACAATGTTTTTCTCCTAAAGTGTGTGTGTGTGTTTCAATGGAAACTATAAGTTGTTGGATCGGGTGTCGATAACACGCCGTAGGCTGATCAGTAGTGTCTTAGAGTGTTCCACAATGTTTTTCTCCTAAAGTGTGTGTGTGTTTCAATGGAAACTATAAGTTGTTGGATCGGGTGTCGAT